CTGCATACAATTTATTTGGCAAAACTGTCAATTAACTGAAAAAAAAAAAAGGTGTTGAAAACTGCCTGTGACCAAAATCAGGTCAATGAGTTTTGCAGTGTATGTGAGGAAGTGCTCAGATCACAAAATAAGGCAGGTAAAATTCTTTGCCATAAGGCTTAAATGAGTCTCTTTCTGTCAGCTAGAGTGATGTATGTATCTGGAGCTAGACTGGATTCAGTATATTCATTTTATTAAATGACAAAGCTCACCAACAATCCAGCTCAAGGTAAGTTTAGACCAGTGGCTTTAGTTTTCCTTTCATTTTGTCTATAGGATTCCAAATGGTCTCTAGCAATTGCCAAGAACAAATCCACTCTAGACACCACAGAACAGTCAGAACTGGGACCACCAGAGACAAGACCTTGCACCTTTGTCCTCAAGGGCACCTCAGTTCTCCAACCTCTTGAATGAGCAATTCTATTGTATGAGCCTCAGAACCCTGCTTCATGCTAACAGCATCTTTCTGTGACTTCTCCATGCTGAAAGAAAGTGAAAGTGAAGCTGCTCAGCCATGTCCGACTCTTAGTGACCCTAAAGGATGTAGCCTGCCAGGCTCCTCCATCCATGGGGTTCTCCAGGCAAGAATACTGGAGTGGGTTGCCATTTCCTTCTCCAGGGGATCTTCCCGACCCAAGGATCGAACCTGGATCTCCTACATTGCAGGTAGACTCTTTACCATCTGAGCCACCAGGGAATCTGTGTCAAGGTAAAAATTTCCTAGATTCATAGTATGAAACTGTATTTTTCCACAGATTCTTAAACATACTTCTCATCTACAAATGCTAAACTAAAACTTGCTTGACCTTCTGTTCTCTTAGTTAGCTCCTCCAGCCCCTGAATCTTGGATTTTATCCCTTTTGTTTGGTACACTGAGCAAGGATTTCCTGACAAATCTGTCTCACTCAAGGATAGATTAGTCATGGTTTGGCTGCTTTTGCTTCTTAAATCTTCAGCTCCAAAAGGTGATCTTTCTAAACAGTTGAGGGCATGAGAGTTTAGGTAGGGCAGGTTTCTCAGGCTTTACAAGCTCAGATTAATTATTTTAACTATGCATTTATTTATCTTATTATTACATAGAAAGGCTCTCAAAGAAACTCTAATCTTGATTTCTAGGTGAGGCATTCTGGCATCATGGTTAGAGAACTTGTGTTACTTGGAGTCACAGAGACCTTGCTGTGAACTTTGTCCATGGTATTGATGAGCTGAGGAACTTCAGGCAAAAAAAATTAACCCCCCTAGGTTGTAGTTTATACTTTTGTTAGTACTTCACAGAAGAGAAAGAAGATGAGGTTTGCACAAAAAAGTGGTAAACACAATGTCTGGCCTTAATAACTACTCAAAAAACCAGTCTGCTATTAATATTATTATTTTCCATCTCAAATTATCAACTGAATTACTCAAATGGAAGTTCATTTTTACAAATGTGTTTACCAGATAGAAAATGCTCAGCATTGTCAATTCCGCTGTTTAATAAAACCCAAATATCCTTCCTTTCTGTAGTCAGTGGTTTTCTGATTTCTATTCTAGTAATATTTTGGCCAAATCTGAATCACAGAATAAAATTTTTAAAAAACAATGAAAATACTTTAAGCATTTTTAATATTTATTTTTCGGCTGTGCCAGATCTTAGTTGAAGCACATGGCATCTTCAACCTTCGTTGCAGTAGTTGCAGAGTTGGGCATGTGGAATCTATTAATAGTTCCCTGACCAGGGATCGAACTCCCTGCATTGGGGACCGGGGAGCCTTAGCCACTGAACTATCAGGGAAGTCAAAAACTTTCCTTAGGAAATACTTAGGAAATACAGGCCAGGTCATGCCTTTCTAGAAATACCTCCATGTATCCTGAATAACGATCATTGACTTGAACTGTGTTGGGGCAGTCCACACCAAGGCCGCAGCCCAGAAGGCTGTGTCCCTAGGACAGATGGGAAGGAGGACCCAGGGTCCACCTGTTCTCCTACAACCACGAGTGCTGTCCTCATCCTTGCTGCTCCTGCCACCCTGATTGTTAATATTCTTTCCTCCTGAGCTAGTAGGAAATGGCAATCTACTCCAGTATTCTTGCCTGGAAGACTCCACGGACAGAGGAGCCTGGCAGGCTATAGTCTATGGGATCGCAAGAGTCAGACATGGCTTAGCGACTAGACCACCACCACCAGACTGGGGAAATGGATCAAAATTCAAAATTCGAAGTACAGTTTCTGCTGAACATGTATCTCATTTGCACCAGTGCAAAGGAGAAAAATCATGCTTGGAACTGTCATATGTTGGGTCTTGTCTGTATTTATAGATTCCTTGAGGTTAGCCTGCCGATGTGGTACTTTCCAACAGATCCCTTCTCTTCCGAGTCAATCCAGGACCATGAACACAACTTAGCTCTCCTTCCATCACCAGTTCTCACACGGCACCTGGTACGTGTTGAATGTACAGTGAATCCTGAATTACAGCATCACTTTAGAGCAGTGGTAGTCTTGATGGATTTGGTTTTAGATGGATTACCAATTTTAAATAGATACCTGAAGGATACTCCACATCCATCAGCGAGAGTGGGTGACCTTTGATTTTAATGATTTTTAATCAGGTGAAGGGGTGAGAAGAAGGTAAACTGTTCACTGCCCCTCTTGGAAACCTTTTGCTTGCTGCAGTTGTATTTTAACTGTATGTTTTGGAATACTCTAAAGTCTCTAGACTTGATCAGATTGTTGACAAAATCATATTAACATCAATATTCAAATGCCCAGGAGTCATCGGGGTGTCCTGTGTTCTGCTGGAACCTGATACTTATCTGTTTACCACAAGGCTTCCTGCACTGGCTCCTACTGCCCACAAGACTACCCCCTACCAATACAGACAAGAACGCCTCATACCAAAGACAAAAGCACTGTTAGGGAAGGTCCCACAGCCACTGATCCCAGTCAGAGTGGTGCTGGGTTCATGTCCAAGGGAGGAGAAGGGTCTTTCCTGTCTCGATGCAGCAAGCTGTTACCTGGGCTCTGCCACAGAGCAGCCCCATCCACAGCCTACACCAGGTCCCAGAGAAACCGCTCCTCCAGCCTCTGCCTAGACTCTTTCCTCTGTTGACTCCAAGAAGTCCAAAGAATGTTTTTCTATGCCTTCCACTGTCTTCTGCATTATTCCAATATACCCAAAGCTAGCACTCCTCTCACTTCTCTGGAGCACCAAGACCCCTTATAGAACAATGCAGGCAACTAAGCAATGACATGCCATGAGTTCAAATGGTCAAACTCCGTGTTCTCACCTGGACAAAGTTGTAGTGCCCCACCACATGTTTTAAGATGAAGAAAAGTTTGTGTGTTCCTTAGTTTGATGTAGTGTTATATTTGATTCATGCTATATACTGTGAACCTGTTTCTACCTATATTCCCTTTGTTATGACTGTGGAGTAAATAATTAGGAAACATGGATTCCGGTTTCCAATTCTTCCTGAAACCATCAGGGTGATATTGACATGTACAGTTTGCCAGTCTGGATCTGTTTGCTGATCTGATCTACAAGATAAAGTGATGAGTCCACATTTGATACAAATAAAACAGAATATATTTTCCTTTGTGTTGGTTTTCAGTGATAACTTAGATGATCAGTTATTGCTCTTCTTCCAAACCTATTTATTTCCCTCTCACATACAGCTGAGATATAACCTGTGAGTTATTCTCTGTCCCAATTAGCTTACTTAAAATTTGTATTATTTTCCCAATAGTGTGCAGTTTATGTTCATATTGAAATTAAAAGATGGACACAATATGCCCACAAGAGAAAAGTTAACATGAATCTGTCTCCCTGAATATATTATAGCAACTCTGACTTAAACAGGATGTGTCATTCCAGTTTCTCATAGCAGCCAATGCCAAAGTACTCTATCAGTTTAGTTCAGTCGCTCAGGCATGTCTGACTCTTTATGACTCCATGGACTGCAGCACGCCAGACTTCCCTGTCCATCACTAACTCCCGGAGCTTCCTCAAACTCATGTCCATCAAGTCAGTGATGCCATCCAACCATCTCATCCTCTGTTGTCCCCTTCTCCTCCTGCCTTCAATCTTCCCCAGCATCAGGGTCTTTACCAATGAGTCAGTTCTTTGAATCAGGTGGCCAAAGTATTGGAGTTTCAGCATCAGTCCTTCCAATGAATATTCAGGACTGATTTCCTTTATGATGGACTGGTTTGATTTCCTTGCAGTCCAAGGGATTCTTGAGAGTCTTCTCCAACACCACAGTTCAAAAGCATCAATTCTTTGGTGCTCAGCTTTCTTTAAACAAAACCTTTTTTTTTCTTTCAAACAAAACCTTGTGCTCACCAGGGTCCAGGAGAAAGGAGCAGTAACCCAACTAGAGACTGACCCAGACTTGCCTGTGAGTATCCAAGAGTCCCCACCAGAGATGTGGGTTGGCGGTGGCTTGCTGCAAGGTTGGGGACACTGAATGCAGCAGTGTGTGCATGGGACCCTTTGAAGGAGGTCACCATTATCTTCATTACCTCCACCATAGTTTGGTCTCAGGTCAAACAACAGGGAGGGAACACAGCCCTGCCCATTGACAGAAAATTGGATTAAAGATTTCCTGAGCATGGCCCAGCCCAAAAGAACAAGACCCAGTTTCCCTCACAGTCAGTCTCTTCCATCAGGAAGCTTCTATAAGCCTCTTATCCTTATCCATCAGAGAGCAGGACAGAATGAAAACCACAATTACAGAAAACTAATTAAACTGATCTTATGGACCACAGCCCTGTCTAACTCAATGAAACAACGAGCCATGCGGTGTAGGGACACCCCAGACGGATGGGTCATGACAAAACATCGTCTACTGGAGAAGGGAATGGCACACCACTTGAGTATTCTTGCTTTGAGAACCCCATGAACAGTATGAAAAGTACTCTGTGGTACAGGCATATTCAACATGGCATCCAAAGCTGTTGGTATTTTTGCAAAGGTTATCTCATATTAGCTGTCATAATATATTTATTTAAACAGCCTTGGTAGTTTGGGTCACAGTTTGAGAGTGCCTAAAAGTTTGAGACTGGGCTTGTTTGTACTCGCTCATATATTCGTGTGCTGGTAACATTGTTCACCACATTTTCCTTGAAGACAAAGGACAAGATATTTCAGTACTGCTGGTGAAACTGACATTTAGAAAAAGGCAAACTAATTGCTATGCATACATACATTCCTTAAAAATCTGAAAAAGAAATCTATAGACAAGTATAAATCAAAACTATTTACTGAGTGATTTTGCCATGTATACATATATAAGATTTGGCACTAATAAAACAGAATATTTCACTAGTGATAAAGTAATATTCTACTTAAAATAAGAGTACATATATACACACATATAAAAATAACATATTATATATGATATATATGACACAATGTGTAAATATACGTGTATATACATATACAGGTATATATACAGAAAAGGATTATTTATATGAACTTGAAATCTTTTTAAAAACATTTTTAAATGCCTACATTGAAGCATTTTTATAGATACTCTATATTTTTCAAATAATAATATACATCAATACAGTATTTCATGATTTTCAGAGTACTGATATACACATGATGGTATTTAATTCTACACAAAAATTTTTTTTCTACATTTTGAAGGCGATAAAACTGAATCTTGAAGAAGATGAATGACTTTTCCAAAGTCATGTAAGAACTAAACACAGAGATGGAAATCCATGTCTTCAGATTCTGAATCTAATATTTTTTCTAATGAACTATAAAACCTATTTGTTTAGTGATTAAGGTCTTTATAGAAAGCAATAAAATCAATTAGCCTTTGTCTTCCACTTCCTACTTTATAAGGGAATGTACTCCATTGTTGAAAAAATATCCTTACATTAAGACATGAGGATAGATTTTTTTTAAATATTTCCTTAGAAAGGACTATTTTATACTGTGTCCAGAACTACCATTTTATTCATTTTAGTGGAGGTGGGGTTTGAGAAGAAGAGAATCATGGACATGTTCCCTCCATTCTTTACAAATGAGAAAGATGACTGGGGAAGCCATCCTGAGAGGAGCAGGATAGACTAAAAAAATATAGACGTTGGAATTAGGTCAACCTGGATTAACCCCAGCACCACCAAATTTTGGCAACCAAATATCCTCAAGTAAGTCAGTGTCTGATTCTCAATTTCCCCACCTGTTAAGTGGATTAAATAATCTTATTTCACAGGAGTATTGTGAATAGTGGTTAAATAATACATGAAAACATGGGGACATTGTAGCCATTAAATGTTAGTTTTTACTTGTGTCAATTGATCTAGACATCAAACAGACAGCACTTAATCTTTGCCTCTCTAAGTTTAAATTTCCTTTTCATGCTTTCGCTTGGTTTTGATCTGGAAAACTCTTGAGAAATTCACCCTGGTGTGAAGCAAAGGATCAGCAACAATTCTCAATCCCTGCTGAAATCTTTCTTGCACAAATAAGTGCTTGTTTTGGCTTCCACACCAATCCAAAAATTAGGCAAGACAATTTTTAAAATTCTCTCTAGGTTTTTAGCTTCTCAATCCTTGCACATTTTCTAATCTTTATGATCATATATCTATCTGTCAATATCCCCCACCCCCATTCTTATAAAGCAAGAGGAAAAACAAAAATTACATTCACTCCTATTGTTTTAGAACAAGCTGAGTGATTTTATATACAGTTATTGCATGCATGCTCAATCGCTTCAGTCATGTACAACTCTTTGAGACCCTATGGACTGTAGTCCATCATGCTCCTCTGTCCTTGGGATTCTCCAGGCAAGAATAGTGGAGTGGGTTCCCATACCCTCGTCCAGGCAATCTTCTCAACCCAGGGGTCGAGCCTGCATATCCTGCATCTCTTGCATTGCAGGTGGATTCTTTACCCACTGAGCCACCTGGGAAGCCCATATATAGGTGTTAGAAAAAATGAGAAACAGCTCACTCACCACCACCATTTTCTCATCCACCAACTTCCTCCTTATGGTGATCTCTTTGCCATCCCAGTCCTGAACCTGAATCAAGGAGTCATCATCTAAGATTACCGTACTCTGAAAAACAGACAAGGCCAAATTCAGCTCAGACTGTGGCATATGAATCCTAAAATTTTATCAGGAGACAAATTCTTTTCAGCTGTTGTGATATTCTCAGGTAGTTTTAGAATGGTGTTTACAATTCCATTTATTTTGAGACTTCATCAACAGTAAATTTGTTGGCTGATTATTCTGGGGGAAAAGATTTTAAAAGAGTAAAAACTAAATATTACCTTGAGGAGTAGGTAAAGTTTTTACAAAATATATTTTATTGTACAGGCCAAGTATATCTTTTTTGTGTAAAGAATCACAAGTGAGTTTCAACTTTAAAAACATATGTGAAGCTAATTCAAACTCCCAATGTGAGATCCCATTTCCTCTTCTTACTCCAACAATATAAAAATAATTATAGTGTTGTGGGAATATAAAATGGTGTGGCATGTATTACAGTGAAAAATGATGGGATTTGGAGAGCTTCTAGTTGATGAACATATTATTTTTTAATAAGTGTATTTGTTTACTTATTTATTTTTGGCTGTGTTGGGTCTTCACTGCTTTGCTCAGGCTTTTCTCTAGTTGCAACAAGCAGGGGTTACTCTCTAGTTGCGATGTGAGGGCTTCTCACTGTGGTGGCTTCTCTTGATGTGGAACACAAGCTCTAGAGTGTGTGGGCTCAGGACTTATGGTTGCCGGGCTCTAAAGCATGGGTGAAACAATCGTGGAGCACAGGCTTAGTTGCCCTTCAGCATGTGGGATCTTCCTAGAACAGGGATTGAACTCGTGTTTCCTACAATGGCAGGTGGATTCTTTACCACTGATCCACTGATCCACCAGGGAAGCCCTGATGAACATAATAACGTGCTGGGAAGGTTGTGTACCTGGAGGGGTATGGAAACTTCAAACCATTTCCCACATACCTTGTCTTATGCATTTCTTCCCTTTGGTTGTTCCTGAGTTGTATGTTTTATAATAAAATGGTAACAGAGAGTAAAATAGTCAAATAGTAAAATAGTCAAATAAATAATAAATAGAAATGATAATAATTGTTAACAACAACAGTAGCGAGCACTTTCGTAGCATTATTTATTGTGTCTGAGGCACTCTTCAAGAGTATTAACATATTAATTCATGTAATTCTCACAACAGCCTTACGACATAAGTGCTATAATTATTGGGCTTCCCCAGTGGCTCAGGGATAAAGAATCCACCTGCCAATGCAGGAGGCACAGGAGGTGCAGGTTCTATTCCTGAGTTGGGAAGATCCCCTAAAGAAGGAAATGACAACCCACTCCAGTATTCTTGCCGGGCTAATCCCATGGACAGAGAAACCTGGAGGGCTATAGTCCCTTAGGTCACAGAGAGTTGGGCATGACTGAGTACACACACTCTATAATTATCCCCTTTTGCAAATGAAATGACTGAGTCAGCATGAGTCTGTGACTTACTCATAGCCACATGGTTGATTGATTGATTGGTGGCAGAGGTGGGATTTACACCCACACAATCCTGACCCAGAGTTTGCAGCCTGCTCCTCAAAGTTTAGAGATAACTCTGTTTAAACTCTATTGTAGTTCAATTCAGTTGCTCAGTTGTGTCCAACTCTTTGAGACCCCATGGATAACTTGCAGCATGCCAACATTCCCTGTCCATCACCAACTCCCAGAGCTTGCTCAAACTCATGTCCCTTGAGTTGGTGATGCCATCCAACCATCTCATCCTGTCATCCCCTTCTTCTCCTGCCTTCGGTCTTTCCCAGCATCAGGGTATTTTCCAATGAGTCAGTTCTTCACATCAGGTGGCAAAGAATTGGTGCTTTGGCTTCAGTATCAGTCCTTCCAGTGAAGTTATGACTTCAGGACTTATTTCCTTTAGGATTGACTGATTTAATCTCCTTGCTGTCCAAAACACCCTTAAGAGTCTTCTCCAAGACCACAGTTCAAAAGCATCCATTCTTCGACACCCAGCTTTCTTTACGGTCCTATTATCACAGCCATATATGGCTACTGGAAAAGCTTACATCTCAGAGTTTATGCATCCACTGAGCTGGGTTTTTCTACCAAAATTATTTACAGTCTGTCCTGTGATAGAGATAATGATAGTTATCAAATTTCCTTTCTGCACTTCTATACTTTCCAGTCTTTTTGTTCTAGTAGTTTCTTTTTTTTTATTTAGTATAGACATCTTTATTAAACATTTTTGGTCAAAATTCTTCCATTTGATATTATACAGGAATGTGAAGTCTCATATTATTTAACAGCAATCTGATAATGTGGTATTCAGTTCCTTTTATTAGGACTTCACTCTCCATATTGTTTAACAATCTTCTATTGAGTGCTTTCATTCAAATGATAAATATTTATTGGGCAAATATTAATATTATGTGACATCACTAGGTTCTGTGAAACAGAACAGACAAGACATCCTTTCTTGGAAGAGCTTACATCCTAGTGTAGGGGAACAGACAATAAACATAAAATATAAATAAATTATGTAATATAGGTAAATTGTATATTCAAGTTGGAGCCCATTAGTGAAAGTGTGTGTCAATTCCAGGTGTAGACAATAAAATGCCTAGTGTCTCTTTCCCTATTTTGTTGACTGAGATCACAAACTTCAGACAGTCCAGCTACAGGTTAGTTTAATCTCCTTTAGCCTGGTCCCTGGAGAAATTAAGAGGGGCAGATACTCTATGCCCCCATCCCCAGCCTCCTCCTCCCCAAAGAAACTTCTCCAACTCCATCACAACACTGAATATATACTATGAGTTAGAACTCCAATTGTGTAAGCACTGAGAGCTTGTGGATAGTTTGTTCCTGTGATATAACTTCACCTATATCTGCTAATGGGCTTCCCATGTGGCACAGTGGTAAAGAATCTGCCTGCCAATGCAAAAGACACAAGAGACTTGGATCTGATGGATTTGATCAATGGGTTGCGAAGATCCCCTGGAGAAGGAAATGGCAACCCAATCCAGTATTCTTGCCTGGAGAATCCCATGAACAAAGGAGCCTGGTGGGCTACAGTCCACGGAGTTGCATAGAGTCAGACATGACTGATCATGCACACACATACACACACATGCATGCCAACTAATACAAGTTTTTTATTCATTGTAAATCCATGTATGGAAAACTGCTACAAAATAGGAAGGCAGACCTTTTGTTTCTGAGGTCTAAAAATGATTCTGAAAGTGTTTTCTGTTCAATATTTGCATAAGAATTGTTAAAAACACCATTTTCAGGTCTGGTCCACAGCCTCTGATGATGGACTCTGGAAGTAGGCATTTTTTATCAACAAGCCATGAGATTTGTATGTATATTAAAATTTGAGTTCCTGAGACCAAGATTTAAACCAAAAGTTTATCTAACACGCTTTAGATATGTTCACCATTATTGCTTACTTACCTGGGAAGATTTCAAAATTAACATTCGTAATTAAATTTATCTGAAAGCGTGTTGAAGGCCTCACCTTGGTTTTATGGCCACCTGGTGTGGTTTCCTCAAATTCTTCTCCCAGTTTGAAGGAGATTTCATTATTTTTAAAGATGCTTTTGGTTTTTATAGTGATCAGATCTTCCTGTGTCATGATGGTCACAGTGGGCTTTGCCAGACAGCCAAGTTTCCTGCTGGCTCTTCCTATTCCTGGAAACCAGATAAAAGGACACAGTGATTAAATCTGTTGTTGTCTCCAAAGACTTTCATTAGCTGTATATGTTAATTAGGAGGTTTTAGAGTTAAACAGATTTGATTCTGCTTGAACTCAGACTTCTAAGCTAGTAACACCATTATATGTTAATATAGGGTATTTTTTACAGAAAAAACAATCTCCAGTTTTATCTAAGAGCTGTCATGTTTTCTGGTCCAGTAGCTATTAATCCCATTGTTTAATGGACTCTTTTGAAAATTTGCTTAAAGATATGAGCCATCTCCTTATTTTAAAAATGTACCCATTTACATTGAGACAAAACCCTTTGGCATGAGTTCTTCCAGATCTTTATTTATTCTTACATTCTTTTATGTTCACATGTATAGGGTTTGTTTTTATCTATTATGTATTTTTACTGTTGTGAAATATATATAACATAAAACTTATCATTTTAACCATTTTAAATGGCAGTACATTTAAGTGCGATCTAAGTACAATTGTCAGTAAGTACATAAACAATGTTATGCAACCATCACCACTATATATAGAATTTTTAAAAATACAAATGTTTTGTTATAACGATTGTTATTCAACTTGATTTTCCCCTATATCTGTAAGCTTTGGAGAGTTTCCATGTCAGTACATATCAGCATAAATTTTTGTCATAGCTACATAATATTTCGTAGTATGTACATTCTGATATTTAGTTATTTATGCCCTATTGATGGCCATTTGTCTGCTTCCATTTTCTGTTATTACAAATAATGCTGTTGTGAGCATGACTGCACACACAATTTTGCTCAGTACCTGCCAGAGTGTGTTCTATACAAGCAGCATTACATATACTTCAATACGTTGTTGGGCTTCCCTATTGGTTCAGGTGGTAAAGTGTCTACCCGCAGTGTGGGAGACCCAGGTTCCATCCCTGGCTTGGGAAGATCCCCTGGAGAAGGAAATGGCAACCCACTCCAGTACTCTTGCCTGGACAATTCCATGAACAGAGGAGCCTTGTAGGCTACAGTCCATGGGGTTGCAAAGAGTCAGACACAACTGAGCGACTTCACTTCAATACGTAAGTTAAATTTCTAAGAGGAGGCACATTGGGGAAACACTGTAACATGTCCATGTTCATGGAATTCATACTGTGAAACATGATGACAAAATATGATAGGTTAGAAAATGGTCCGAAGAGACACTCACATCCCAGACCCTGGAACCTATGAATGTTGCTTTATACACCGAAGGGGACTCTGCAGTTATGCCTAACTTAAGGATCTTGAAATAGGGAGAGTATCCTGGATTGTCCAAGTGTACCCCAAATGTAGTCACAAATGTCCGCATGAAATGTCCAAGAAATTTTCCTTATAAGAAGAGGAAGAGGAACAAGGGACACACACAGACTAAAAGTGAAGGGCTGGAAAAAAATATTTCATGCAAATGGAGACCAAAAGAAAGCAGGAGTGGCAATACTAATATCAGATAAAATAGACTTTAAAATAAAGGCTGTGAAAAGAGACAAAGAAGGACACTACATAATGATCAAAGGATCAATCCAAGAAGAAGATATAACAATTATAAATACATATGCACCCAACATAGGAGCACAGCAATATGTAAGGCAAATGCTAACAAGTATGAAAGAGGAAATTAATAGTAACACAACAAAAGTGGGAGACTTTAACACCCCACTCACAGCTGTGGATAGATCAACTAAACAGAAAATTAACAAGGAAACACAAACTTTAAATGACACAATGGACCAGCTAGACCTAATTGATATTTATAGGACATTTCACCCCAAAACAATCACTTCACCTTTTTCTCAAGTGCACACGGAACCTTCTCCAGAATGGATGACATCCTGGGTCATAAATCTAGCCTTGGTAAATTCAAAAAAATTGAAATCATTCCAGTCATCTTTTCTGACCACAGTGCAGTAAGAGTAGATCTCAATTAAAGGAAAAAAATTATTAAAAATTCAAACATATGGAGGCTAAATAACAAGCTTCTGAATAACCAACAAATCATAGAAAAAAATCAAAAAAGAAATCAAAATATGCATAGAAATGAATTAAAATGAAAACACAACAACCCAAAACCTATGGGACACTGTAAAAGCAGTGCTAAGGGAAAGGTTCATAGCATTACAGGCTTACCTCAAGAAACAAGAAAAAAGTCAAATAAATGACCTAACTCTACACCTAAAGCAACTAGAGAAGGAATAAATGAAGAACCCCAGGGTTAGTAGAAGGAAAGATATCTTAAAAATTAGGGCAGAAATAAATGCAAAAGAAACTAAAGAGACAATAGCCAAAATCAACAAAGCTAAAAGCTGGTTTTTTGAAAAAAATAAACAAAATTGACAAACCGTTAGCAAGACTCATTAAGAAACAAAGGGAGAAGAACCAAATTAATAAAATTAGAAACGAAAATGGAGAGATCACAACAGACAACACTGAAATACAAAGGATCATAAGAGACTACTACCAGTATCTCTATGCCAATAAAATGGACAACTTGGAAGAAATGGACAAATCCTTAGAAAAGTATAACTTTCCAAAGCTGAACCAGAAAGAAATAGAAGATCTTAACAGACCCATCACAAGCAAGGAAATCGAAACTGTAATCAGAAATCTTCCAGCAAACAAAAGCCCAGGACCAGATGGCTTCACAGCTGAATCCTACCAAAAATTTAGAGATGAGCTAACACCTATCTTACTCAAACTCTTCCAGAAAATTGCAGAAGAAGGTAAACTTCCAAACTCATTCTATGAGGCCACCATCACCCTAATTCCAAAACCAGACAAAGATGCCACAAAAAAAGAAAACTACAGGCCAATATCACT